CGTTTATACCCCAAAGCCCCGGTAATATTCCCGAGCCCCGAAGTAAGATCCGAAGCCCCGAGGATCCCGAAGAGCGTTATTCCCGAGCCGAAACGCTGCCCGCGAGGAGCCCGGTTTTGTGAAGATCTTCCAGATCTACGGAGAAACACCTCTTCTGCAAGCCGTAGTGCTGCCCGATCATCTTTTGATCAAGTGAGTGTGTAGTTATTTTCATTCCAACGCAATATTATGAAGTATTTCTATAAAATACGTGTTATGTGTATATATTTGGTTGTTATACGTGTGAGTGTATATTCACTCTCTTCTATCTTATAGATCTGATGTATTCTCTATGAAATACGTGTTATGTGTGTATGCCTCATCTGTTATGTGGAATATGTATTGATTAAAACATGTTATACAGGTTTTTAAACTATGTATAAAAATGTATATTTTTATCTACTAATATGTTGGGTAGAACATGGGTAGATAATTGGTGTGTAATAAACAGATGAGAGGCCTCGGTGTTATTGGTGTTATTCTAGTCATTCAGCAGAGTATGGATGACGACCACGGACTATTCTAGACTGTCCTGTGGAACACTAGCAGGCTCATTACCTGTAGGTGTTGTGAACGACGTGTTCACCGGTGTACTCTATCCCCCACATGGTTGCCTTTAGGACACTTATTGTTGAGGAAGCCCCTCTGCAGTAATGTCCGTCCCGATGAAAAATCCTGAAATAGGTTCCTTATAATAGACGTTATTTTTAGGAACGTAAGGTGAGGATAACGGGAATGGGTAATCGGGTTTATTGTTGATTGTTGAAATTAAATATAATTATTGTGGGTTGAAAACCCTATATGCTCACCAGGCTCCCAAGCCTGACCCACTCAGTTGATTTATTTTACAGGAAGTGGCGCAAGAGCTTAAGATGGGCGAACATCAAGTTGTTTTGTTTACAAGTCTGTATATGTATATATTTGTTGAATGACTTGTAATGCTATCGTTTATGCTTTATGATCTGTATCGGAACATGACATCCCGTCTTTTGATTATGAAATGAAATCATATTTCTTTATGAAATGTTTTGATAAATGTCTATTTTATCATGTTTTGTTTTTGGGAACAAATTCCGCATCTCTTTTAAAATTAAAAGGATTTACTCTGAAAATTATTTTAAAAAGCATAAATGAAATCGGTCTTTTCTGGCCGAGATTTTGGGGATGTCACATAATGATTATATGATTTTTGGCCATTAGAATGTCAAATGTTGGACTCGAATAAATGGTTGAGCCTTAGAGTGAGACCATGTAAAGGTTTGGGCCCAATTTGGAAAATTGGGCCATATGTTGGGGCTTTGACTCATAGTTGACTGTTGGGCCTTTGGATTAGGCCTTGGGCTTGCATCAAGCCAAGATAGGGGTAAATTAGTATTTTACCCTAATATGGACTTATGGACATATGTTGGAAACCAATTATTAATCAGATGATGTTTTGATATTGACAGTTCGGGAATTTGTCATCCATCAGTTGGGATTGTGTCTACGGGACTTCAGCAGTGTGAGGTGAGTTACCCTCCAATAGAAGTGGGTCTAAGGCCACAATGTCGACCCACTAGTAGGAGTTGTTTATTAGATAATTGTCTTTGTAATAATTGTCTGGTTAGCCACTATCTGATATGTTTTATGTGCTAGCATGATAT